CGAGCCGCTTGGTGTTGACGACATGCGCAACAACTTCTTGTTCCAATGGATGAAGACGAGCATTTGCAGGTTGTCCGGGCTCAACAGATTTCTCCTCTTCGTGTGAATGAGGTCGAATGCGGACCAATTCCTCTCGCATGGAGAGGCTCTAGTCCACATGCTCAGCACTTAAACTGCGATCTTCATCATCGTCTTATGGTTCTTCCCATGACTCAACCACGTTTGTGCCATAGACACATGCCCGACCGTCAAAGCCTCCTCAGAGTTCGGGCCGTTCCACTCCGGATCCATATTGTGGAAACTCTTAAAGGAGTTCCAACACTCTTTGTACTCCTTTGAATTCTTCATGTGAACTGAAGCAAAGTGAGTGAAAGTGTTTGCAATCTCCTCAGACGCCAAGTTGTCGAACAATCGAGCAGATCTGTGGAGTGGGTGCAACATCCATGCCGCAGGGAGAGCCATCATCTGCACACGGGCGTTCACCTTTGTCATCACGAACTCCCTTGTCTCCCAATCCATGGGCAGCACGGCCATCCTATTCTCCAACGTGATCCCCAAAGACCACACCTGCATACCCATCCTCCCATCTATGCCCATGTCCTTCATCAGGGCATAAACAGGATCAAGCAAGGTAAATGCCCGCTCCGCAGTCAACCACCAAGCCAGGTCTCGTATGAGCTCCTTGCACGATCGCGCCCATGTTGCTGTTGTCCGATCCCCTGGAGAGTCATCCCAACGCGGGTGGGAAACAGTGGACAGCAACACATCCTCACACTCCCGAAGTCACTGCAACATGAGGAGGTTTGTGTCAAATCTAGTCTCCCGTGGTTGGTTCAACTCCAACGGCCTCCCATCAGTGATACCCAACTGTGTCCTGTTCTCCCTCCCAGTCCTCCTGAACATCGCCAACCCCAGCTGATGTCTCTTGATGAAAGTGGTGATCTCCCTGCCCTGCAGACTCACCTCCCCGACCATGGCACTGAAGCAATGGTACACATCAGCAAGTTGCACACATGCGCACGACACCCATGGAATGCAGGTGATCGCAGTGTCCTCGTGCTCAGCCAATATCTTCTTGGCCGAAATGTTGATAGGTGCTGAGTCGGTGAAGATGTCATTTACCCTATGCACCCCCAACTCCTCGATGACCCCCTCCCCATCTAGAGCCGACTTGTCCTTCCCCTCCATATCTACACTGCTCACCATGACAGCCCCTGAATCGCTGGCTGCAATGAAGTTCACGGTCGGCCTGTTGACCTGTGCTGAGTTGGTGCAAATGGCATTTAACCTATGCAATCCAACTCCCTAATGACCTCTCCTCCATCCTCGCCAAAGCTCGAGCCGACTTGTCCTTCCCCCTCCATGTCTACACTCCTCACCATGACAGCCCTTGAATTGCTGGCCGCAATGAAGTTCACAACCGGCCTTGCTGGTTGTCGTTGTGCGGGCCGTCATCAAAGTGAGGCCTGTGACATTCCACGACTCTTGGATCTTATCCAGATTGGCATCCACGGCTTCGTACTCTGCGGGCAGGGCCTTCCTAAATCAAGTAGTTGTATCCTAGCATTCTCAACATCTTCCTTGATCTAGCCGCAAGGTTCATGATCCTCTCCATGTTCTTGTACGAGTCAGATCTCGCAACATTAAAGGCGATGGCGTTCTCGAAGAAGGAAGAGTCAACCGCCAGGTCAACTCTTTCGGCAGCTCATCCACGACGAAACTTTTCATGGATGACTGTTGTTCAGACGACGGAGGTCGTGGAGGGAGAACAACAGCTAGAACGGGACCCACAGGTGCTCAGCGATCTCCAATGGCATTTCAGGCGGCGTGGAAGGAGGAGCGGCTTTGTCGGCAACAGATGTAGAGTCAAAACCGATGCCACTGCCATCTCCCGCCATTGAACTTGTGTCACGCCCGCCATCCCCCCCGGCTGACGATGTACCGGGTTGCCCAAATGCACATGCTCCATCACCCGAAACAAGACCAGTGGACAGCCCTGTTCCTTGTAGTACTCGTTCAATTTGTCATCATCTCGGGGCCATTTCCGCCTTTGGATGGTTCCTCCGGATCAAAGGAAGAAAATCCCCGGTGGTACGCAGGCAGCGGACAGTATCTGACGGTTGGATGAAGTGCTTCACCACTCCGGCAAGTGTGCCGATGAACTCTTTGTTACACAGCCTGCACCGCAACCTCCACGAGCCGTGCGACGTGCCGGTTGACACCCTCTGCCCTCGATCCGGCCATCTCCAAATCGCCGACTGGACGAGCGTCCTTTTTCTCTCTTCACCAGTATCAGGCTCAAATGGTCCTCGATTCCTCGCCATGGTCGCCACAGTGGAGGTGGGTGATGGTAGGAAGAAGAAGAAGAAGAAGAAGAAGCAGAAGAAGAAGAGAAGAAGAAGAAGAAGAAAAAGAAGAAGCAGAAGGGGTCGGAGGTGTGTGTTTCCACTGCCCCACAAATTTTTGAATATTAAAAAAAAAAAAAAGTGGAGGTGAGATGGTAGGAGATGGAGAACAAGAAGAAGTAGAAGATGGAGAAGAAGAAGAAGAAGCAGAAGAAGATGGAGGGAAGAAGAAGAAGAAGAAGAAGAAGAAGAAGAAGAAGAAGAAGACTGAGGTAGAAGAAGAAGAAGGTGTGAGAGGTGTGTGGCCGCTGTCCCACGAATTAAAAAAAGAAGAAGTGGAGGTGGTTGGAGAGCAAGAAGAAGTAGAAGATGGAGAAGAAGACGAAGAACCGGAAGAAGATGGAGAGAAGAAGATGAAGAATGAGTCGGAGGTGTGTGGCCACTGCCCCACGAACTTCCGCAAAAAACAAAAAAAAAAGTGGAGGTGGTTGGTGGTAGGAGATGGAGAACAAGAAAAAGTAGAAGATGGAGAGGAAGAAGAAGAAGCGGAAGAAGATGGAGAGGAGGAGGAGGAGGAGGAGGAGGAGGAGGAGGAGGAGGAGAGGAAGACGAAGAAGAGGTAGAAGAAGAAGAAGAAGAAGGGGTGGGAAGTGTGTGGCCACTGCCCCACGAGTTTACGGGGAAGAAAAAAGAAAAGAAGTGGACGTGGTTGATGTTAGGTACTAGGAAGAAGAAGCAGAAGAACGAGAAGAAGAAGAAGTGGGAGAAGATGGAGATAAGATGGAGGAGAAGAAGAAGAAGAAGAAGAAGAAGAAGAAGCGGAAGGGGCAGGAGGTGTGTGGTCGCTGCTTCACGAATTTCCGGGGGGAAAGAAAACGAAGTGGAGGTGGTGGATGGTAGGACATGGAGAACAAGAAGAAGTAGAAGATGGAGAAGATGGAGAAGAAGAAGAAGAAGCGGAAGAAGATGGAGAGAAGAAGAAGAAGAAGAAGAAGAAGAAGAAGAAGAAGAAGTAGAAGAAGAGAAGGTTTGGGAGGTGTGCGGCCACTGCCCCACGAATTTCCGACTAAAAAAACTTGAAGCGGAGGTGGGTGATGGTATGAAGAAGAAGAAGAAGAAGAAGAGTTAGAAGATGGAGAAGAAGAAGAAGAAGCGGGAGAAGATGGAGAAGAAAAAAAAAAAAAAAAAAAAAAAAAAAAAAAAAAAAAAAAAAAACTACGGCAAAGTTTGCAAACAATTTTTTTCACGATGAGAAGAGGAAGAAGAAGAAGAAGAAGAAGAAGAATTAGGGCAAACTGGTTGCAAATGCAGCGATTTAAAAAAAAATTGAAGTGGGGATGTTGTGGTGGGGAAAACGAGGAGAGAAGAAGAAGAGAAGAGTGTGGGCAGCCACACTCTATTGAGTGCCACCGACCGTGGAAATGCCGGCATCGACGGTCGGCAGCCTCCCAAGCCACGCCCCGAACGGCCGACCACCCCGGTACCGGCCCGGACCCCAGATACTGCGCCTACAGGGTGTGTGGACCCATGCCGACCAGTTGGCAGGTCGGCATCCGACCGACCGATGTCCACGGACTGTTGGTGGACACAACTCTGGTGAAAAAGATAAACATGAAGTACTTTCACGCAGGTCGGCATTGAAGGACATGTCATGGCGGGGCCAGGTTACATGCAGATTGTGGTAAGTACTAGGTAGGCATTGTACCTAGACATACTAATGCTGTTGGGAGTGGACACAGTTGTCTGTACAGATTGTACGAGGAAGTGTTGGGGTGGGCAACAGGGTGCATGCACATTGTAGAAGGATCTTCCTCCTCCTCTTCCTCCTCCTCTTTTCCCTCCTCTCCCTTCTTCTCTTCTTCCACTCCCTTCCCCCTCTCCCTTCCCCTTCTCCCTTCCCCCTCTCCCTTCTCCCTTCTCCCTCTCCCTTCTCCCTCTCGTCGTCGTCGCCGTTGTGGTGTTTTTTTGGTTCTTGTTTCTGTACCCTTTCTGTGGCCTTAAAGGCTTCTTCTCCCTTCTTCTCCTTAAAAGTTTCTTCCTCTCCCTCCTCCTCCTGCTCCTCCTCCTGCTCCTCCTCCCTCTCCCTTCTCCCTTTACCTTTCCCCTTCTCCCTCTCCCTACTCCCTTTCGCTCTTCCTCTCCCTTCTTCTTCGTCTCCGATCTTCCTTCTTCCCTCTCTTCTCTCTTCTCCCTCTTCCTGTCTCTTCTCCCTCTCCCTTCTCCCTCTCCCTTCTTCCTCTCCCTTCTGCTTCTCCTCGTCGTTGTCGTGGTCTTTTTTGGGTTCTTGTTTGTTGTTGCCTTTAAAGGCTTCCTTGGAGTGCCCTGCGCTACCTTATTGCTCATCATGCTTGCTTCCTCATCATGCTCCATCAGTTGGTTGGTCTTCCCTCTGATCGTCTTTTTGTGCCATCTTCTGCTTAGCTGCAGTTGTCATTCTTATGCTTTTCTTACCATACTGAGTCTCCTGCAGTGGTTCCAGGCACACTGCTCCTAATCATAGGTTCAGAATGTGTTTCAGCCTAAGTTTCTGATGTTATTGGTTGAGCTCAGATGTGGTGTTTGTTTCCTCCCTTCTGTTTCCGGTGCTTGCTAGCTGGTTCTACTCTCAATCAAATCATGCCCTTTCTTTTGGCTGCAGGTGCTGCCTTTGGACAGAGCCTGTTTGAACGATTGCAAGCAAACGATCACCCGGTCATATTTCTGTCTCAGCAATACCGCATGCATCCTGAAATTAGCCATTTTCCAGCACAATACTTTTACAAGGCTGAGCTTTGCGATGCCCCCATCATCACAATGCGGCCACAGATGTTTGCAGGCAGTCTTTGTGTCAGGGATATGCTTGGATCGGATTTCAAGTTCACTTTGGGCCCCTATCGGTTTCTTGACGTGGACTGGGGACAAGAGCAGAAGTCACTGTCCAAATCCATGAAGAACAAAGCAGAAGTCGAGGTGGTGGTTGCTATTGCGAAAGCTCTCCAGAATGTGCTGTGTACATGGCAAGGTAGTCAGGGAGACATGGGCATAATCACGCCGTACGTCTCTCAAAAAAACAGCTTCGTGAAGGCACTGCAGGACTGTCGTTTCAGAGAGGGTCAGTTGGAGATAAACACAGTGGATGGGTTTCAGGGGCGAGAGAAAGATGTCGTGATCGTCTCGAGTGTGAGGTCGTCAACCCTGCAGGGAATAGGTTTCCTCTCCAATCCACGGAGGATGAATGTTTCGCTGACAAGAGCCAGACATTGCCTGATCTTGGTTGGCAACGCAAGAACTCTGTCGAATCATAGTTCCGCCTGGAGATCGCTCATCCAAGATGCAAGGGAACGTGGATGTTACGAGCCTGTGCAGAGAGGAAAGGTGTCTTTGCCGTCCCCGGTCCAGATGGGGGTGCCAAGGCCGGACAAAGAACAGCCACGTGCGGAGGTTATGAATCCGCTAGGCTCAGAGATGTCTACATCCCACGGGGCAAAGTCAGATCCCTCTCATTCTCGTGCTGGACCCAGCCACGTAAAAGGTTCTTATCGCAACACGAAATCCAGCGACGGAGGTGGGAATCATGCCGGACAGAAGTCATTCGATAGCAAAGGGAAAGGTAGGGTGGAACCAGAAGACGAGCTACAACCCGACAAGAAGGTTATATGGACGAACGGGACGAAACTGGGTGGGAAACCTAATCGACAAGGGGTAAAAGAGAGCGGTGAAGTCCTGATGTCTACTGGAGGTCTGCCGCAATCCCATGGAAAGCAGCCCGCAGAATGCCCAGAGATCCGTAAGCGGATGAGATTCACAGCCCCCCCGTCGGCCCACGATGACATCGCCAGCAAAGTGGACCTCGGAAGGGTTAAGCAAGAACCGCAGGACGAATGGGCGGAAGCTCCACATAATGAAAATGGCAGTTGGAAAAGGGCAAAGCCATTTCACAAGCATGGAAGCATGATGCGCGGCAGTATCCGTAAGCCAGGTGGTGGACAGTGGCACCCTAGTCATTCGATGGCAAAGCAGCGTTCAAAAACACAGAAGCAATTTCGGGCAGCAAAGCATCAGTCACAGCCGAAGAGATGAGAGGGACAGCACAGGGCAGAGTAGTGGGGTCAATGACTGATGCTCCTACGCCATGCAATAGGAGTATCCCTGGGAAATTACTTTGTAAGCTTTGGGAGGTAACTGACAATAGAGCAAGGAACAAGGCAAGGAATCGTTATCCCCTGTGTGAAGTACACAGAGGTTCAGACCAGTGAGCAGTTGAAGCTTCCAATAGACGACAGCTTACATGCGTTTCCCGGTCAATCAGTGGCGACATAGAAGAAGAAAGAATTCCGATCCCAACAGCACAGAGATCTGTGCAATGTGCAATTATGACCAGTCGAGTGAAGATGCAATACTCTGCCTTCTGATCTGCTCTGAAGCGATCTGGTTCCTCGACGGAATGGAAACCATTGGGTCCTCCATCGCCCATCCATCTTTTCATCAAGATTCAAGACCCTTCACACCCTGCAACGAACGATTTCATCATGGCTTAGCTTGGTCAATAATGCTACGCTGTGAACGATCTAGAAGAGAAGATGTATGAACTTTGAGGACTACGTATGGCATTGAAATGGATAAAGACACCGCCTGGGCCCAGCTATGCGAAATGGTGGATGTGGAGAACCACTGTGAATGGATGATGGATAATAAAACAAAGTGCATTCGGATTGGAAAAGGAGACTCTCCGGAGGGATGTTGGCTAGTTGGGGGTAAAGTTGCGGACACTCCAGAGGATCGCAGAGGGTGGTATCGTATGAAAGGGGGGAGTCCGAGTCAGAAAAGACTGCAGGGCCTCGGTCTGCAATCTAGTTACAAGACATCATCAGTAATCCGGTGAACTGATCGCAGCTGAATGAGGGGAGCTCTGTTGCGCGATTGTAGGTTTGATGCTTCTTCTCACCACGTGATCTAGCATGTCTTCCATGGACCGTTGAGTATGTTTTCTGCTGTCCACATGATTGGAAACCCGATACTCACCGTTGAACTTTGTTTTGCCGAAAGGTCGATGGGAATTATTCTCTGCAGGAGGCGCTGACTGGAGTGGAATGCCGGAGTAGCTTCATGTGCACGGAAAAGTCCACTTCGCTGGGTGCTGATCGGAATTCTTGGTACTGTTGGACCAGCCAGGAAGCACCTTCGTCAGGATGGAAGTAAGCCTTGACGTCCTCTGATGTGGCCATTCGTCAACAAGTTCTGACAAAGCGTCAGAGTTTCTCGATGCCGCAACGATCCTGAGACCACTTTTACGCCGCCTTCGAGCTAGAGATGACTGTGTATATTCGATAGTTACCCATTGAAAATTTGAAATCTGATAGTCAATAGTTTTGGGTTGTAGAATTTTGCGTTTGGTGATTGCAGGGTAGGCACCAGCTTGTGGCGTCCAGTTCACGAAGTCGTACTTGAGATTCGCTCCCACCAGGGTGCTTGTGAATGCATTGGGTGACGGCCATCTCATTTCCACTCGATCTACCTGCAGTAGAGAAGGAACCAGTTGTGTGAGTATAGCTTCACTCACTTCAGAATACCCTTTCTCCTGGTGCCCCCAGTGGCCAGTCCTTGCTGCCCGAGCCTCTACGAACAAATGTGGCTCGAAACCTGGAAACAGAGCGAGCGATACTTGGAAGTTGCTGGTGGACATCGTTGTCTTGTCTGTTCTCGCTGGTGAAGTTTCAAAACGGTGGTCAATGTGTCGACACTGCCGCGCAAATGACAACAATTGAAAGCAAAAATAATTTTAAGAAAGGGGGTCCGGAAAAAAAAAAATGTCATCCAATCTATTGTTTGTGACAAAGTTGGTTCTGCATCTATAAAACACCAAAGGTCACGATGCAAATAATAAAAAAGTTGTTCCGAAAAAAGAAAATGTCGCCATGCAAATAGCTTCCACTGCTCGTTACCTACGACTTTAGCATAGAGTTGGCAGGGCGTCTGCACACCTGCTTTGTTGCGAGAGCACTGTCAGCGGTAAACCACACGTCCCTTCCGGCTTACATCTCCTACTCCTTGTTCAGAGGATTTTTTCGAGTGCCATGCATGTCAGAGTTTGCCGGCATGCAGTCTGTCAGGGAGAAGGAATGCATTTTTATCCCCATGTCAGTCAGATTCTGTTCACGGTCTGTTGTTTTAGGAATGCAGTCCCTTCGAGGATGCATGGGGGTTCCCTTCGTGGACGCACCCGTCCTTTCTGTTTGTCTGTCCTTATGCGTGCCTGTCTTGCCTGCTAGTCTTCCTTCATGTCTGCCAGTGTGTCTGCCTGCCTCCCTCGCCACGTGCCTGTCTGCCTGTGTCTATCTGCCTATGTCTGCCACTATGGGTGCTGGTTTGTCTGTCATCTGCCTGTTTTTCTGTTTGCTTGTCTTTTGGCATGGCTGTGTGCACAACTGTGTCTGCAACTGTCTGCGACCGTGTGTGACTGTGTGTGTGACTGTGTGCGTGACTGTGTGGGTGGCTGTGTAGGTGACTGTGTGTGTGACTGTGCGTGACTGTGTGTGTGACTGTGTGCGTGACTGTGTGCATGACTGTGCCTGACTGTGCGTGACTGTGTGCGTGACTGTGTGCGTGACTGTGTGTGTGACTGTGCGTGACTGTGTGTGTGACTTGGTGCTGTGCATGATTGTGTGCGTGACTGTGTGAGTGACTGTGTGAGTGACTGTGTGTGTGACTGTGTGCGTGACTGTGTGTAACTGTGTGCGTGACTGTGTGTGTGACTGTGTGTGTAACTGTGTGTGAGTTGGTGCCTGTTGTGTGCAACTGTGCATGACGGTCTGCCTCATCTGTATGTGACTGTGTGCCTGACTGTGTGCCTGACTGTGTGCATGACTGTGTGTGACTGTGTGCGTGACTTTGTGCCTGTGTATGTGACTGTGCATGGCTGTGCGTGTGATAATCTGCCTCGGATGGTTCTGACTGACCGCATGTGTGTCTGCATGTCATGGGTGTAGACTCTGTAGAGGGAAGAAACCGGAGATTTCTTTTGTCACATCAGTTTTCAATGGCAACCTGAGTATGACACGGTGATATTGGTCATCTGAAAGTTTTTTTTTTCCTTCTTTTTTTTTGTTTGAAGGTCATCTGGATTGTTGACATAGAAACAAAGGAGGGAAAAAAACTCAAAAAAGAAAAAGAAAGAAAAAGAGAAAATCCCCACGGCCTCCACAAGGTGCGCTGCGGGTTCACCAGCTGAGATGGACAGCTTGCCCCTCCTGGTTGCCATGGTTGGTTGGTAGAGAATGCCATTGTCCCTTTTGTCCGTTGCTAGGGGTTAGGTTCAACTCTGAGGGGATAGGCGCAATCCTTAGGGGATGGACTCAACCCATAACCCTTGGTGTCATCTTGACCTTAGCTGATAGATTTAGGCACGTTGATTGTCCATAGGTGGGGCAGTTCGTTGTCTGTAGGCATTTGGTTATTATTCCAGGATAAGCGACATCCTGTCTGATCGGGCTTGTGGGTAGGGCTTAGATATGGGTAGCTAGCGTGAGGGGATAAAAGCCGTACAGTAACTGAGAGAAGAAAATAGTGTAGTTAAAAGATACAACTGTCCCCCATATGAGGAGAAGACGGCCGTATTTTTTCAAAAATCAAAGAAAGTTCCTGTCATGTCTCTTCTTTCGCCAGGCAAGGAGATCCACAGACGTACCACTCTGCGGGCCTCGCTGCCCCACTGACCAAATGTCCAAAATGAGAATGCATCTCCCGCTAGAATGTGGGAAGGTACGATTGGCAAATTTTTGCCTTTTTCATGTTTGACGAGTAATGATATACCTGCCAATTTTTTGCCTTTTTCATGTTTGCGTAATGAACCCAGTCTGGAGGATACTCGTCGAGAGTCAAAGTACAAGAATTTCAAAACTCAGCGCTGAATAAAGTCTCCAATAATCATGTAATGTGATCTGTGATACAATGTCTCGTGACTCGTAACCAATAGACGAAGAGAGGCGAGCGAGAATAGACAATTTAGAGGGTGGAAGAGTATGTATCCATCAACGACGACAGAGATAGTAGCCCCACAGTTCCCTCTTCTTCTTCGGGCTTTCCCTTGCCTCCACGTCAGCAAACAGTGTCTAACAACGAGCCTGACTGGGACGGATTACATCAGAGTGCCACGCGGCACAGTTCTCCCGTGAAAACGTTCAGCAGCGCACAATGTCGGCATCCGCAATTGGTAAGTATCCTCTCTCTCAATCAATCAACAGATCCCGATCTCCCTCCTTGTCGCGTCCAACTCAGTAACAAAGACAGTGTGGTGAATGCCACGTCAGCAATGAAGACAGAGTGGCACGCGCCACATCAGCAATTTTGAAGACAGCATGGCACACACCACGTCAGCAAGTAGACAGAAGGCGGCAGCACACATGCAGCAGTCTCGCGTCGTCGTCCACAGTGCCAGCGTCCAGCCAGCGTCCAGCCAGCGTCGAGCCAGTGTCAAGCCAGCTTCAAGTCAGCACGGCAAGACTGAATGTTGACTCCCTGGAGGCAGAGCCTTCTGTAGCGTTTGACGAGGTAGACCTGCCTCAGGTCTCCCACCCACGGTGACTCAGATTGACTCACAGCCGACGTCCTGGATCCCGTACGGTTGCAGACTTCCACTTGGTCCGGATGCTGTCTGGATACCTGCATACAAACAAGTGTGTGTGTCTGACCGGCGGCCTGGGCTGGGTACACTTTGACTCTGACTCGTGGCCGCTGGGCAGTTGACCAAAGTCAACTGTGGGGCGCACAGGCCCTGAAGCCAATTTCGGGGGGGGGGGGGTTATTTCCCCTCGATCCTCGCGGCCTTAGGTCGGGATCGCGGCCTGCGTGTGCCCCTAGGACCACAACAGAGCATATGGAGTGGGTTATTGCATTTGAGGCCCTGTGTGCCACACTGCAAGGACTCTCTGCCCAAGCAACAAGAAATGGGACTGAGGGCATACTTACACTTAGTCTAGTGCTTTTGTAAATATATCTGCCTGCAGTCACAGCCGGACCTGGATGCATCTGACCGTAATCACGTCCAGATCTGAGTCGAAATTGCTCGGCAGTGCCGCCCCTTCTATTCTGGGGGGCAACAGTCCGGTTACTCTTCACCGGCAAGCCTGAAAGAACCAACTCAAGAAAGAAGGAAGCAACTCTTCCAAGATTAGAGACATCATAGGCAGTGAGCTGTTGTTGCATTGTGGAGGGTGGCAGCCGGGCTTTCACTTACTCAGCCCCCTCCTAGCTGGGAGACCTTCACGGGGAGACCGGGCCATGACTGTCCTCCTCCTCTGCACTGCAACAATGCTCCCGCTGCTGAGAGTGTGCCGCTTTACATGCAGCGGTCGCATCAATTCTCCACTGTTCCTTGTATCACTCCTTCCTATATTTTGTTCAAACTAGGTCATTCAGAGCTCATCTTCACCCAAACAAAATGCCCGGTCATTATAGCTGCATTTGGCGTAACTTTCAGTCCAGATGCAGCGATAATGATGGGGCATTCTTTTTTTTTTTTTTTTTTTYTTTTAACACGCCTCCGTCAGTGTTAGTGGTGCTGATAAGAGCAGACACCGCTAACACCTGGGGGGGGGCTCCATCTATTGGTGGGGAGCGACACCTGCTGGAAAACGGGTCCAGCGTCCCTTACATGAGCAGAATTCGAACCGTACCAGAAAAACAGAGATGTGGAATATTCCTGCCAGCATTGATTACCCTGGGTATACATCAGGTGCCCACATATGGAAAGGAACTGCAGTTATTTTCCATAAAAAACCTACAGCAATAAATAAAATTCCCATGAAAATACCACTCGATTGAGTCCAGGGGATTGACTGAACAGGAAGTTGGGGGGGGGGAGAACCTCTTCACCCTGCACCTGGCGCCAGATACCTGCTGCTACACCCTGGTTCCCCCCACCCCCTGTTTGAGATATACCTTCTATTGATGCTGCTGGCCCACTCTTATCCTATTGCATGTCTACCTCCGGGTCCGGCATCCCTCTTAAGCAAAAAACTGAGATGAGTTGTGGAAGAACAGATAGACCATTCCTGACTGATACTAGGGCCTGCCACTAAACAGACCCTCCACCAAACAACCCATGCCATCCTGACATGCCTGCCCCATGTCTGCCCAACCTTGTCGCTGCTATCCGCTACCTACCTGCTCTGTGCCTCCCCCACATTGCCCATTCAATCCGCTCCATACCATTGCATGTGTACCATAGCCAGGCTGTGAGGCGGGAAAGGGTCGGGAAAATCTGATGCTGGTCGCAGTGGAATAGCCTGGCCAACAGTAGTCCAATCCTTGAAGCAGATCCGGTAGTCTCTCTTGAACTCCCCCAGGTTGCACGCCAGGGTGGGCTTTCTGTCCCAACTTGTACCTGCGATCCATCCTCCTTCCTCGTTGCCCAACCAGTCCCCGGAGAATTGGTGAATTCCGCGTGTTATGTCATGTGGTGTTTGGAACAAGTTGATTTTTAACTTTCTGCCGCTGTACCGTCAGTTCTTGCTGGATATATTGCTTTATCATATCTGTAACCTCTTCCCCCTCTATGCGGACATCCTCCATGGTGTGGATACAACGCCTTCTCCAGAGTGCCCACACCACTGCCCTTCTCCCTGTCTTGAACATATTGTTCTC